GACAAGTGGGAATAAAATGCATTGATGAAATGACACATTTATTTAGGAAATTAATTCCCCCAAATGATGTGAAGATAGCACCAAATGTCTTTACAATTTTAAGAACTTGACAGTGTTGATGTGATTTGCTTAGTGCTTCAGAATTATTGCATTTCAACACCCATAGCTATGTTTGAGAGTTGAATAAGTGGCTCCAAATAACACATGTAAGCTGACACCAAGTCTGAAAGTGCAGCACTGCCATATAATTACACGATCTTTTCCTCAGTACAGCTTCGCTCAATTCTTTCCTCCATTATCAGGAACATCAACTAAAATTCATTTCCCATTTATGAAAGTATTGAACCACTTGAATGGCTGCAATGAATGGGGGCTTAATGCCTCATGATCATACCAGGCATATAAGGCTGCACTCATTTTTAAAAGCCTCCTGATTATTATTGAAACTACAGAGTGATAATGCGCCTTCTCTGAGATCTGGACTCTTTTCATTCTTGTCCTCCGTTTGTCTTCCCATTAGGGGAAGGCAGGACAAAGAGAAATATCAAAGCTACAACACTTCATCAGATAGTGGGGGAGAGAGACAGAAAAACTGGACAAAAAAGTTACAGAGGGATGGAAAAAGAAAGGTGGCGTGCCCAGTGGGTGAAGGAGAATCAGCAGAGAGATTATATGTGGGACAGAGGTGGTGCAGGGAGAGACAGAATAACTGAAGAGAAAACAAATTAGACATAAAGGGGAAATAAGATAAATTCTTAATAATAAAGGGGAATAAAACCAAAATAAATCCTAACTGCAAATTACTTATTATTCGTCTAAGGATTTATTTACATGTGAAAAAGGGGGGGATTGCATGGCTAAAAGTGACCAATTTGTCTCTCGAGGTGCTTGCACACCAAATCTTTGGTTCAGTTCAATCAAACCGCATGTGCCAGTTTGGTGCGGTTCATTTGGCCTGGTGTGGAAGTTGTCAATCAAACTAAACAACTGCTTCCAAGCAGACACTGGTGTGGATTGTTTATGGAGTGAAAGCTAAATGGACCAACCACAAGATTTTCTGTTAGAAGATATGTGGTTTTAATGTGAATTCAAAAGCTAAATCATTTGCTGATTAAGAGGGGTTGCGAAAGCAATTTTTTAGGCGATCTGTATTAATGTAGAGCCTTTAGGTCTATTTATTCAAGATCCTTTGGTAACCATGGTAATACCTATGCACATCAAAAGCAAGTGTGGGGATTTCCCTTCAATCAGAAAGTGAAACAGAGTTCAAACAGTCTTGAGTTTTTGTCTTACTCCAAGGATTCCAGCAGTTCGCCAATAAAAGGACCACACACTGTCCTCCCTTACACACTATCCTCCCATCACTATTTATAACATACAAGGTCCAGTTCCTCAACTAATCATATTCATAATCATTTTCTTCTTCATGAGTTCTTTGTGAACACCAGAGAAGATTGGCGATAGGATTGATAGGATTAAAGTTACCAAAAATGCTCAATGTACAGGTTAACTGTCAGTCCTTACAACTTTATGTTTACACTTTGAATGTTATAAATCAGTGTGAAAACAAACCGGACCAGAACCGAAAGACAACAATGTATCTTTTTTTTTTTCCTCCTTGGTGTTGACCAAATGAAGCGAACTACAGCAGTGGAAGCACCCGTAGATCTGGGAGCTTTAATACATCAAGCTGTGATAGGAAGTGACACGGTCATGATGAAGCTGTAGAAGACATATGCTCTTTATGGGTGGGTGGTCTCCGTCTCTCCCTCACAGTACGGGGGAAAAACATTATCGAACGAGGTGCACACAGAAGACAGAATTACAACGAATGGTAAATATGCACACTGCGATTACTCGATTTACAACTCACACTGGAATGTCGAATTTACAGGACGGCTCTACTCGCTAAAGGTGATGAGACATTAGCAGTGAACATGTTTTCAGCTAAATTTATCTATGGAGTCCTCAAGCTGTGGACTCACTGCAAACACCTGTGAGAAAGTGAATGTATTCTAGATATAACATCACCTACCAAGGAAGATGATAAAGATCTGTAGAAAGTCTTACTATTATCTGGTGCTTTCTGATTGAATAAAAAGGTAAAAATAGAGAGAATAAAGGCTACGTTCAATCTAGATACTCTTTGTCTCTGTGAGGGGATCCAGTGGGAGAAGCAGAAAGCTTGTGGATCAATGGACTTCCTGTTAACTAGGGCTGATGGAAGCTCTGGTCATGTGATCAATGTCTGCATTAATCTTGCGGCTAGAGAGTAAAATATTACTGTTGCCTGTCAATACATCAGCCTGGTTGGACAGACAGCAGTATCAATCAGAGGAAGACACAGGAAGAGGCACAAGCACACATCACTCAGTGATACACACACATGCATTAAAGAATTACACTGTTCTAGCACTGCGGGTTTAACATTTCATAAGACTGAATATGTGGTGTTATTTAAGACAATTAATAGGAGTAATAATGAGACTAACAACAAAACAAAGCACTAAGGCCTGTCATCATAACACTGCAACAGCCTTGGAAATTCCACAGACTGTCAGTGACACAGAAAACCAGTGACATAAATCAACAGAACCTGGCATTAGATCCGAAAGCACAGTGTGTGTGTGTGTGTGTGTGTGTGTGTGTGTGTGTGTGTTTTGTGGATCAGTACACAGAGGAGGATCTGTTCTGGCCAGATTTTCCCCATTTCATCGGCTGGTGAGCTCAGAGCAATTTAAGAGGTCAACATACGTTAATACATAGACTCACTCCCACTCACACACACATACACAAGAGAAAGGGGAAAATGGACACCCCTGGCAAAGACAAGCAATGCATTGCCTTTAATATAGAGGTCAGAGACTGGGCAGGTGTAGAGAGAGTGAGCGTATCTGTGTTTGTTAAATTTAAACCTGTATTAATTTATTTCTGGCACCACAAACTGTGTTTGAAAACAGTTACTTCTGCACAAATCCAGCAGGTACAGAGCAATGTTAACTATCATTTGGAGTCATGTTTACGGCCAATATTCACTCTGGCTTTTTAGATGCTATATGCTCCACTATGTCCACTATGTCTAACGTTTGGTACTGAGCAGGTAGCATATCGTGGGAATTCAGAGCTTTTTCACTGCAAACAGCTGCTGGCTGCAGACGGAAATGAGGATGATGAGAAATATGAGACTGAACCAAAACTGTATTGCTTTTGTTTGCAACCACGAGTTTACACATTCATAAATAATTAATATGATAACCTGTTGTGGATCAAATGAACTGCAGCAATAATCTGCAACACTGAGTTCTTTGGTTCTGTATAACAATATTCACCAAAACAGTTTTCTTTTCAGATATGTCATGGAGTCAAGCTTGTCAAGCGGCACAATAGCACAACCATGAAGCTCATGACTCTTTAGTGTGCTGCCAGTCACGGTTGTCATTGTATGAGAAGTTAAGGTTCTGCGTTTTTCAGACACACAGACACCACACAGGCTGCAAAGAGAAGCAGCAATGGCTGCCACGATGCATCATTCACTTGCTACCTCAAAGTACAGCAGTGTGTGTGTGTGTGTGTGTGCGCGCGTGTGTGTGCGTGTGCATGTCCAGGTGAGAAACTGACTCACCCACCATGCTGTACTTCACAAATCATACTGTCAGGGCACAGGGCACAGCTCTCTCTGTCTGTCCTTGATTTCCATTCTCTTCAGTGTGGCACACTCCTCTCTCTCTGTATCTGACCCTCCTGCATCTCCATCTCTCCTCCCTCATTCTGTGTCACTTTCAGTTTGGTTCACCCCACCTCTCCTTTCTTTTTTTCTGTACCACCGTGTCCTCTCTCTGTTATCTCACTTGTTTCAGTCACCCTACAAGGCTCTCTCCCTATACACTATATGTTGTTTTCTTCTACACCCACACCCCCTCTTCTCAGCCTCTCTCTTTTTGTCTTCTTCTCCCTCCACACCATCCTTTTCCCTTCTCTCCTCCCCTCTGTGCTAAAAGGCAGCGAGTCTTTGCTGTTGATTTGGGGGACAATCAGAGACAGATTGTTTGCTTTAGGGGATGTCTGTCTGTGTATGTATATGTGTCTCGTGCCTGTCTCAATGTGTGGGCTGTACAGTGGAGGAATTAATCACTCAGTCTTTCCTATTAAATCAGTTCAAGGTGGTCTAGGGAGTGGGAGAAAGAGAGAGACAGAGCGGCAGAGATGACGCTGAAGTATCGCATCGCAATGACACAACGTTGTACACAGACAAATGCAATACCAACAGGCAGAGATGTCCTGATGTGAGAGAACCTTTGAGTTTTTTACTACAAAAGAAAAATAAAATAAAAAAAGGATAAATATCCCCACTTGATTTGATGTCACATAGTACACATTTGTCTCCTAGTCTGAAATCAAGGCTGCTTTCTCTACAGCATCCATAAAAATCCTATGAGACAAAGATAATGTTAATGCCTCTACAGGAAGATGATAACCCACTTTCCTGAAGCATGAAAAAGAAATGTATAATACTCAAATGAAAAAAGATGCTCTTGTAGAGGAATGTGTTTATATTTCTCCGACTAAAGTACTGAAAAAAGGCATAATTTTTGTATTAGTACCAAACCTCAGGTACTGTATTGTCGGTGACATTAAAAATGTTCAGCCCCTTTCATGCAAGCTGTCCACCTTGCCATAATGTGAACATAGCAGCAGCATGCTGTGCGTAGCTGATACATGACAAGAAGACTGCTGCGTTCTCCACAAGCAAGACACAAAAGACGACTTCCATTAGTATTTTTTATCAAAACATAAACCCCACTGGAAGTGCTTTTAAAGGCTGGCGGGAAACTGAGTTCAAGGTCAAATAATCTTACCTTTGAGTTCAGCAGCCCCTGGTGTTTTTCTGTAGGGTGCTTGAGTGTATTATGCTGCACAAATCATACATCTATATGAGCACCCTGACCTATAGACACTGGCTTAGAAAGTACAAAGCGAATGTCTTGGTGATTGACACCTACCTGTCATGCCTGGAGGGGTTTTCAAGAATTTCCCATTGAAATTTTGGATCACCACGTCACACTTCTCTGTCGTCTCCATCCTGGAGGGAGAGAGAGAGAGAGAGAGATAAAGAAACAGGGGCTACTTGAGGACAACCAGCTCTTTGTGTTACTATTAAATGTGTTCAAGAGATACTGTGGTTTCATTAAAAAGTGTGCTAATGTGAAAGTACTGTACGTGGATATGAGTGTATGCAAATGTGTCCTACATTGCAGTACATGCATTAAATACCTGCCTGTTTATGCATCATGGGCTTGTTTGTCTGTGTATGCCTGAGCACAGTGCCTTGAGCATGTGTGCGTGTATGTGTTTGTGTTTGTGTGTGTGTGTGTGTGTGTGTGTGTAGGTGTGTGTGTGTGTGTGTGTGTGTGTGTTTTTGTGTCTGTGTGTTTTCTATGGGGTTTCCTCTCCTTTGTCCCGGTTTAAAAGCTCCATTCAGTCTGATCTGTTGTGTGTCATGTCCTCTTTGTCTGCCCCTATTCAGCTCCGCTCACCCAATCACAGCTCAATGACTAATTGCCTGCTTGGCAAGCAAAAGCCAGTGTGTGAGTGCATGTGTGTGCGTGTGTGTGTGTGTGTGCATGTGTGTGGGAGAGAAAAACGGTGACTGGAAAGAGAGAGAGAGAGAGAGAGAGGGAGAGGGAGAGAGAAAGATTGTGTATATGTGTGCATGTGGTATGTGAGCATGCATGTGTGTATGTGTGTGTGTGTGTGTGTATGTGTGTGTGTGTGTGTGTGTGTGTGTATATCTTGGGTTTTCTTCACATTGCCAGTGACCCTGAATGGAGCCCTGACTGCATTCTAATCACTGGCACACTCCACGGTGTAACTGAGAGGACCACACACACACACACACACACACACACACACACACACACACAAACACACACACAAAAACACACACACACGCATTGCACACAGAGGAGGGTGAAGGGGCCAAGGGTAGAGGAATGTGGAGTTGTATCATTAGAGCTGAGTCCTTTACTTGTAAATGGCAGGGAGTCAACTCAGGGTAGCATTGCCTCTAGCAATTATCTAAAACATGAATCTTGACCATAGTGTGATAGTTATGAATCTGTATTATTTTCTATTTAGTGATTATACAATAGTTTGTCCAGCAAAGTCTTACATTTAAATAAATCTGGAGCTGATTAATAAATGAAATGTAAATTTGTCTAACAGTAAGGTGTGTAATGTTTGTGTGTGTGTCTGTCCGTGCCTACCTGGCAAAGCCAACTCCTCTGCTCAGGCCGTTGGCGTCCCTCAGTATCCGTGTGGAAATGACGTGACCAAAGGGTTTCAGCATGTTCTCCAGCTCCTGCTCATCCATGGACACCGGCAGGTTGGAGATGTAAAGGTTGGTGGGGTCCTGCTCCTGTTGCTGCGGAGAGAAAAAAGAGTGGTAGAAGATGATTCTTTTGTCTTGCATAAACAAATGTTTCAGCGCCAGCCACAAAATTGCATATTTTAGTCTGGTCTTGGAGAGTTGAGAAGTGATTGGAAATGTGTCTCTGAAGCCTTGAAAATAATCACTGGCATTGGGTCTCACAATGAACACTTGCCCGCCTTGAAGAAAATGAATAAAAAGAATTTAGACAGAATTAGAATTTACACTGTTTATTATTAATAATTAAAGTTTGCTGATGGTGAAGGGTTGAAATGCTGTCTATCTATCCTCGCTCCAGGAGGATAAATCTAGACACGAGACTGCCCTTGTGCCAAGCAAAACTGTTTTTCTTCCTCTCAAGTATGTAAAAAGCTCAAAATAAAGTAAGAGAAATGAAAGAGTCGACTATAACCCTCCACTAAAAGCTAGTTTTGCAGCAGTAAATGCATTAAAGGTTAAGGCTGTGCCATTCGAGCCATTTATTTCCATATTTATGACTGAACATCCCACTGCAAAATATCTGTGAATTTAACTCAAGTGGCAAACTCTCCTCAAAAGAGGAATAAACATTTCATTGGAAAGACAGCGCACTGGCTTCACACTCAGAACCCCTGAAGCAATAAGGTAACCCCCTCAGGATTCAGAGATGTTAACAGAGCTGCATTAAATTTTTCCACAGGAAGGAGGGAACCTCCATCTAATGTGCCTCTCAGTTAGTTAGACTAGTATACTTCAATTATTTTCGTTATGTTTGGCAGCACTTCATTGAATTGATCCTCTGCAGGAGTGTGCATGTTTGTGTGTGTGTGTGTGTGTGTGTGTGTGTGTGTGTAACTACAGTGCTTACAAATTACAGAGGGATGGAAGCAGGGGAGGGTTTGATGGAGGGTGCTCTAGTTTACACAAACTTGCTATTGACAAGAAAGAAAAAGAGGTATAATACACTTACATTCTACAAATATAACTGCATTTTTTTTATAATTTCATTAAAATACTAACATATAAAAGAACTGCATTGGCTGCGTCTCTCTTCTATGCTGTAAAGATGTTTACATATAAACATACATATGCATGCAACACAGTACATTTCTTCTTTACAATCTGTGACCAGATGTTGCTGGAAGTCTCTTCTTCATGTCGTATATCTTTTATGTTCCTCTCGTTTCATGTGCACAATCCCAGACGTCAGACACATAAGTAATCCTGTGCACTGACATGCCGCTGGAATGGGAAATGGTTCATACATTTGATTCCACTGTTGTCATGAAAATGAGCCAAATACTGTGAGTGCATATCATATCGCGTGTCCTGTGCTGCATACCTCAAACTACATCGTAAGACTCCAACATGTTTAGTTTGATTTTTGTACTAAGGCAAACAACAATATATATATATGTGTGTGTGTGTGTGTGTGTGTGTGTGTGTGTGTGTGTGTTGTTGGGTGAATACTTGTGTGTATCTGTGCCCAAAAAAAGCTGCCCTATGTGGCTCATTTTGAACCTAAACATTTCCTTTATCTGCGGAGGATTTTCCTTTGCATGCACCAGAGCCGTATGATTCCAAGTGTGGGAGTTCCGAGTCTGGCTGACTGTGACCAAAGCCATCTATGTAGTCAGTGACTCAGAGTAAGCAGAACAGCCTCAGTGAAGGAGGCTGAAATATTTACCTTTCTTTCTAAGTTTGAATATCTCTCTTCGTCAGCAGGGATTTTCCTTTGGCAGAGTGTCCAACACACAGAGTGGCACAGTTGTCTTCCCACACAGGGCAACTGGCTTTGAATGTAATCTTTTATATTTGTGTACATGCTGCTGTGTGTGTGTGTGTGTGTGTGTGTATTTATGCAAGCAGTGACAGATGAAAGCAGCAACATCAAATGCATAGAGTCGTATCTAACAGCTGTTCGAATCTGTCATTGATCTTAGAATCATCTTCCTTACAGTAGGACCTCCTTGCAACAAATCAGTGTAAACTATAGTTTCATTGCTTCTCAACACACTCCTCGTTAAAATGATCATTAATAGAAGAATTTTCCAGTCTGTCTTAAAACATCAGTCAGATGCTAATGTGGACACCTAAACAGGTTTTGCTAGCTGTAGTCATTCCTCCCATGCGAACTGGCAACTAATAACCTTGCTAATGTTCTTTCAGGGTCAGTGATGGAGGACAAAAATCAGCAGTCCTCATTCTGGGCAAAAAATGTATTAAAAAGTTTACCCGAAGCTAATATGAGGCTTTGTTTATCTTCCAAAGCTACAGTCTTTTTAGTGTAAAATTCCATGTTTATGTTACTGTCCTTCCACTTAGCTCAGCATAGAAACACTGTCTGTGGGAAAAAAAGAGGCAATTTCCTACAAAAAAGACTTTGGAAAATATCCACTTGATTCTGCTGACACAGACTGCTGAAGCCTCATATTAGCTTAAGATTTATCCCTTATATCACAGGAGGAACGATTATGACAAGCAACACCTGTTTTAAAGCTCATATTATACTACTGTTTATTGTTTTTGCTGGAGCAAAGTCCAATGGGGCAATCATTCAAGCCTTCAAAACTGAAAACAGGAAGTTCAAAATGTAATAAACATGTCTACACGCTCTATTGATAAAAATTGCAAGCTATTCTTCTCATGAGTGTGTTAGGGTTTTACTAACCGTGTCGTGTCAGAAGATACAGACATATCTATAACTATACTGTGAGCTTCCTGTTGATATAATCAAGATATACCAAGATATAAGCTGCAGCCTGTGTGGACAAACAGGAAAATTATATAAGAGAAACCTTAACGATAAAAATAAGAGCTTTATGGCACAATTATGTTAACATTCAACAGTGAAACACTGTCTCAAGCTACTAAGGCTAAAGCTAATAAAGGCACCATTGGACATCCAAGGAATTCAGTGGAGGACTCACTGGTGAAACTCAAAGACATCCATCGCCATGTCACACTCTTACAAGTCTCTGAGCTTTTGTCATTCAAGCAAATTAGCTCCAGAGTACTCCTGAGGCTACGCTCTGCTGCGCTTTACACTCTTACTGCGGCTGTGGACTTTGTCATTACCAACAATAACTTGTTCATCTAGACACAAAGGAATTTCAGTTTTCAATCTAGAGTTACTCTGTATGTAGCAGAATTTCCCTTGACTGTCTATGGAGGCAGCACTGACAGAATCCTCTTCTCCCTTCTTTTTTTGTTTGAAAGCCATAAAAAGATTAAATGGTAAAACAGAAGATTTCCTATCCCTGTGGTCAATGTGGTTACAAGCTAATTTCATCCAAAGACAATACGTCTTAAACAAAATCTCACAGTGGTTTGCCCAATTTCAGCTAAAAGTGGGTCAGCTGTTTTGTTTCTGCACAAATTTTCCGTGCAGCTTGCAGTTACTGTAACAAGGGAAATGAATGCAGATTTGTGTGAACAAGAGGGATGCCATAACCTCTCCTCCACTCCTCCAGTTGCTGATTATGATACATGTCCGTGTTGTCTATTCCACTGCCTGAAAATCCCTCGTTTTCTTTGTATGATTTGGGAATCAGACTTGGGAATCAAGAGTGAGATGGGTACAAAATTAACAGGGACATCATGGTGGGTTACTGAAATCACATTACTCCACCTGACCATCTCTAGACACAGTTGGCTGCAAAACACATTTATTTGCACAAGTACATCTGGGATATGAGCTGAAGTGTTTTGGAGCACCCGCATGTGAATGAACTCTGCTTGACTTTGCTCAAAGTTGCGGTTTGCACAAAGTTATTTCTCAGTGATCTCTCACTCTGCATGTTGCAAATGACTCACCTCTCTCTCTCTCTGTCCCCTCTCTTTGTCTCTCTGCCTCTTTGTCTCTCTCCCCCCCTCCGCCCCGCCCCCTCTCTCTCTGTAACATCTGTCATGAGCTGGAAACAGCTTCACACCAACTGTGCCTCTCCCTGACGGTGTAGCCTGCCAGCGAGTCAGCCTGTGTTTTCAGCCCCATTAAACCTCATTGCTGCATCATTATAGCAGGTCTGTGCCTCTTATCATGCTACTTCCCGGTTACCTTGCAATGCCACAACACCTGCCGGAGAGCTAGAGGGTAAAGAGAGGGCAAAGCACTGGTTAAATAGCTGTGAAAAACACCGGCTGAGTCTATATGCTAGATGGATGGATATGAGGTGAGACGGGTACTTGAATGTCACATTTCTTTGCAATCCCGCTTGCATCTCAAATAGCAATACTCCACATCAGAAAATGACACAACGCGGCCCCTCACAACCCTGAGCAGCAATGAGTGGTTATTAAAAATGGATGGATGGAAAGATGAGGAAAAGCTAAGTGAAGCCATAGGCAGGGAGATGCCTCGGAAACAACTAGCGGGGCACTTTCATAAAGAAGCAGTGTATGATTAGGGAAATCAGACTTTCTGTTCATTATGTGTTGACTCCCTCCACTTACCATTCCAGCTTGTCTTTCACTTAATCCTGCTCATTTCCTCTTTTAATCCATCTATTCTTCCCTCTCCTTTGCCCTCCTTCAGCCCACCTCCTCTCTAACCTCAACTTCCTCCTTTCTCATGCTCACCCACACCCTCCTCCTCTTGTCCTTTCCTTTTTTACCTACTTGCTATTCGCCCCTCCTCCTCCTCAGATTAAAACCTAATCTCCTATAATGGTAGCCTTGCTGTCTAAAATGCTATCTGAATGCTTAATTAATATTTAAAGAGCAGAATTTTTCTCCTCGCCCTTCACATCCTTCTTTTCCTTTCCCTCTTTACTCTTTTTCCACGTCTTCCATTTGCCTCTTCATACCATCCACATCTTTACTCTCCCTCATTTCCATTCACCCCTCGCCACCATCTCTTCCTCTCTCTGCATTTCTGCCTTCCTCCATCTTCTTCTTCCTCAAGCCAATTTCTAATCTTTCATAATGATTGTCTGGGTATCTAAACGCTCTCTAACGGCTTAATCAATACTTAATGAACATGCCATAAATACTTCATGAACCTTAAACCTAGAAAT